TGTCAGATAAAATCCAAGGCTGGAATAGAGCTTTTATTAGATTGAAAAATTCTCCGCCGTACACTTGAGAGCTAGTATCTATTATTGAGAATAAAGTAAAATGGAACCTTACAAGAATCACCGGTTACATTTTAATGAAGTTTTGGTCTTGTAAGAAATTGTTTCAAAGACCATTTTAATAATTTACCACTTTGACATCTTTTGAAAAATTCTTCTAAAAGGTCTGTAACGAGCACTCGTTCATTTTTCTACTAAAATAAAGTGCTATTCTTATTCCAATATCTTTGTAGCTGCAAAACATTGTAATTCTTATTGTTACGAACTTTTATTTCGATTTACCTATCCCGGTGTTTGTTTATAGCCAATCAAATCTTTCAATTTGAATTTGACCCACTTTCCGCAGTCCGATTGAACTGAAGCGTTGCAAGTTTATAAAAGTAGGATGACAATGCAATAGAAGCGCGATGGTATAAAAAGTTTGCATCCTCATTTTTCAGATTAAATTCTGCAGTGATATGAAGGTCAGACAAAATCAAAAGCCTGCATACCATTCCAGACACCGATTTGTCTAAAGCTGTGGGTCTACGAATAAGATTAAATCGGTAAGACTTTTATTCGTTCTTGAAAATATTGATGACTCCTAAGAGTGCCCATTTGGAACTAGAAGCACTCGATATATTACGATGAGATCTGTTTAATAAATCGTAATACTGAATTACGTTACTACCTTTCCCGTAATCTTACTTGCGTGGATTTCATCTAAATGTAGGTATCTCTCGGACAAGAAATAAATGAAGTGACACTCAGAAAAAGTATTTCTCGTTCAAATGAAAGAATTTGATCAGGAAAGCTAGAGATTACAGCAAATACAGACGATCAATTCCGTCGCTTTATGAGATAAATCGATGTATAGTCCGAGTCCATAGAAACTGTCAATTTTGTAATACACGTAATGAGATGAAATGTTGCTTTATCAGATAATGTAACTGTCAACATCATTAATGACATTTCTTTTTTAGGTATCTACACTAATATTATAAAGAGGAAAACTTTGTTTGTTGGTTTGTTTGTTTGTTTGTTTAGTTGTAATGGATAGGCTCAAAAACTACTGGACCGATTTTAAAAATTCTTTCACCATTCGAAAGCTACATAACTCACGAGTAACATAGGCTAAATTTTATTTTGGAAAAAAATAGGGTCCCGTAAAATATTTGGGATTTTCATAAGACGTGGAAAAGCGCCATCTATCGTCATTGGTTAAAATCTTTTTGCGCCTGACAAAAACGGTTTTGAGGTACGTAAATATTCATGAAGGCAAAGCTGTCAAACGCCATCTATCGACATCATTAGTAAATTAGTAACTAAATATTACATGTACTATGAATAGCGCTGTTCGTAAATAATATTGAAAATTTAATAAATAAAGATATTTTATGTAACTGGAGCATTCACTGTATGTACCTATTTGAATGTTTAAACGATCAAATCAAAGTGTTAATTAGTGACTTTTTACAAACTTCCTTGCAAATTCTTACACTGTGCCGCCATCTACCGAGATGAATATTAGGGTACGGTTCAGCGGCGGACAAATGGGATGGGCGCGTGGGCGATTGTAGTTAAATAGGATAAGAATTACTTCATTTTTATTTTCTGTATGTAATTTGTTAATTTTTTGGTAGGGTCTTTATTTTAATTACTTAGGTTGGTAGGTACTTACTTATTTGATTTTAATGATAATTACTATAGGTACGTATAATTTTAGTAGAAAGAAAGGTCATTGAATGACTAAGTGACTCACTCACTCATCACGAAGTCTCAGAAACTACAAGTCTCAAAAGAGTTCTCAGGGTTTAATGGTCTATTCCACCTGGCTTTGATCACCAAGATGATCAAAGTGGACTCCAGTTAAATTATTTTTTAGTGTTCTTTGATCACCTATTCTATAAATAAATCATACCTCTGAATTGTCACATACATGTCCAATTTGTTTATTGCGGTTTTTAGAAAATATCAAAAATGTTACAAAACAAAATATGTAGTAGGTACAACAATTGGACATGTGACTATTCAGAGGAGATGTGATTTGTTTGTAGATGATCAAAGGACACTAAAATTATAATTTAACTAGAGTCCACTTGGCTCACCCAGGACATCGTATCCGTGGGTGATCAAAGGCACAGAATAAATTCAAAGGACACTAATTGTCGCTGTAAGTCCACTTTGATCACCTGATCACCTGGCTGAACAAAGCCAGGTGATCAAAGTGGAATACACCTCCTTTTAGAACGTAGGTAGTCACTAAGACGAAATTTTGCAAAATTCAACCCTTATGGGAGTTAAAAAGGGGGTTAGAAGTTTGTATTGCAGTCCTCGGTTTTTAAAGTAAGAGACTTGAAAGTTAAAGTGTATGCTCACTATGATCTCTAGATATTGTGGAGGTGTACATATACTGTTCGGTACACTGTGGTACTGTGTACACATCGGTTTGCCGACGATATTGTGGTCATGGCAGAATCGTTGGAAGATCTTGGCACAACGCTCGAAGACCTTAATCGATTTTCCNATGCCCGTAAGCAGGTTTCGAGACGCCACCGGGTCCAAAGCGGGTTGTTCATACGACAACCCACTCGACACTCGATGCGCGCTCAAATTCGAAGTATTTCAATGTTTTTTATAATTTATCACTTCACTGCACTTTAGAACACAAAATAACACCAAATTTGTACACTAAAGTCCATTAAATAATAAATTGAAACCATTAAAACAGATCGACCATGCTTCCCGTTCAACTACCCTCCACGGAATCCGAGGTAGAATATGTTAGGCTGGGTTGCACCATCTTATTTTGACTTTAACAAACGTCAAAATCTGTCAAACTCTATACAAAATACCGGTTATCGTTATAGTTACGGTTAAATTTAGGTGAATGTTTGTAATGTATTTTTTACTAAACACACTAGATGAAACGTAGCGAGTCAAATCAACGTCCCTTCACACCTAATAATAAAGCTTGACAAAAATATGTAATTTTAGTAAAAAAAAAAAATTAGTTACGGTTTATTTTTATTAAAACTTTACAAAGGTTATTACGTATCCTTATCATTATTTACGTGTATCGCCTGAAGGTTATTTGCCTAAAATGTAGGCTCTTATATTACTTTTATAGGCTATTACAAAACCTTTTATGTATTACTTACATTATTATGAGAAAAATATAATTTTGTTGGCCGAACATAAAGCCAGTTCTAGATGCTACTTCGGGTGCATTCACCTTAAAATGTAACATACTGGTAATTTGTTACCCGGGCCATAATAACGAATCGATTGACACCTTATTCACCAAAATCGGATAAAAATTATCTCAATGACAACCCAAGTTCATGCAGGTATCAACCCATAACGTTCATATGGGGTTTCGAGCATGTGCAAAGTAATTAGGTAAACATGATACTTTATCCTAGAGGCAACTAATTAAATTAATTAATATACGGATTCTCAGGGGTATCTTTTATTTTAAATATTGTAGATGGGTTTTTAAAAGCTTTTCTGCATAAAATAATAACATGGCTTTCACGAAAGTTTACTTTAACGAAACTCTAAGAACTACGAGTACAAAGCCAATAATATTATATCCCACTAAAAATAATTTCATGTAAAATAAATAAAGAAAGAAAGAAACATTTGTTACGATGAACATCACTTATACATGACAGAGAACGTATACAGAAAAAAAAGACAGAAATAGCACATAAATATTACAAGGAAATAAAAAGTGAACCGAGCAGTGCTATCCTGTCGCAACAGCGATGCCCATCGCAATGGGACTCCACTCAGCATATGCCGTGGCCCACGGTGGGGAAGGCCACTACGCTGGTTTTAAGTGGGCCCCATGCCGAGTCAGTTTCAGTTTCAGTTAGCCAAGCTTCTAATCCTAGTCGACGTAACCTCACAAACTCTACACGTTTAGACAAAATTCGAGTACATAATGTGGGTGGCATGACCATTTCGTTATCGTCACACGGGCTTCACGCAGTCACAAAACGCTACCACCGACGTTTACTCAGGGATGTTATGGATATCCGTAACCGTAACTGAAACTTTCGGATATCCGAAATAAAAAAATATCCGTAACCGTAACCATAACCGATTCAAAGATTTCGGATGTAGGCAGAGTCAAGCAAGTCTCTACACTGATTTAATGATTGCATAAGATAAAAGCTTCTTTATGAGACCAAAAGAAGGTGACAGATTCCAAAGAAATCTCTTCTGTACCCATTCTATTCGTAAGGCATGAACTGTGTTGGACAACTATTGGAATTTGCATTTTTTATCCGTAACCGTAACCGAAACCGGTATAATATTATTCCAATATCCGTAACTGTTAAGTAGTTGATAGGCGTGCGAGACAAGTAAAACGACCGAAGCTATAGAACGCACTGACGCTTTATTCGTAAAACCAATGGGCGGGCGCAGCCGCTATACATGCCTACATATAGATACAACTACGAGTACGTTGAGGGGTACAGCTAGATAGCTATACATAACATTTCTCCCCCTTAGTTTGTGAGATAATATAAACTAAACATTTATACAAAAAAACTGCTTATAATTAACCTTAGGAATTTGACGTAAGAATATATTTGAGGATCCTGCCGATCTGACCGGTTCCGTAACCTGACCATGTTCATGAACAGTGGAAGCTTCAGGTAATTCCTCGCTGATAGGCTCAGGAACCCTGTCAGTCGAGCCATCCAATGGCTGAGCGTGAACAGTTTGGTCATACTCGTTCCCCCCTTCCACACTGGGCACTGAGTTGGATTGCCCGTCAAAGTCGTCGGGCACCTGTGAGAGTGCAGGGGTGGCTTCGCTCACATCAAAGTCAGACAACTCCACGGGACAGTTGTCACACAGCTTGTTGTTGTTGTTATGCGGTCCCTTATAAGGTATAAGCTGATTTTTGTGTTTTTTTATAATTACATGAGTTAAACTGTCTTTGATCAAATACACTGTTTTAGCAATTTTTTTTACAACAATCCCTTTACACCAGGAATATTTCCCATTACTATAGTTTTTTTTATACATGACACAATCACCAGATTCAAAACATACTTTGTTGCTTCCGCCGTACGCTTCACTCTGTAAGCACTGATTTCGACCTACGACTTGAGCGAGGGTGTCGTGCGAGGGCGGCGGCGCCACCGGCGTTGTATTCAATAGGTCCAGACGACAACGAAGTTTTCGACCAAAAACTAATTCGGCCGGCGAAGAGCCTGTAGTCGTATGTAATGAATTTCTATAATCAAAAAGGTACTTATGCAAATGTTCGTTACTTTGTTTTAAATTACTAGACATTAAACAAGTTTTAATGCCCTTTTTAATTACTTTTACATAGCTCTCTGCTTGCCCGTTGCTGGCCGGGTGGTAAGCGGGAGATGTCACGTGCGAGATCCCATTAACTAAACAAAAATTCACAAATTCTTCAGAGGTAAAACATGTAGCATTATCACTAACTATCGTATGAGCGAGCCCGAATCTTGACATAAATTCGTATAGTTTAGCTATGACTCCAGATGATGACGTATTGCTCATTTTATAAGCTTCTACCCACTTTGAGTAAGCGTCTACGATTACAAGATATAACTGATTATTTACTGGTCCGAGGAAGTCAATATGCAGCCTATAAAACGGTTGAGGCGGGTGGGGCCACGAAGCGAGCGGCGCGCGTGCAGGCGACGGTCTGAGCTNAAATTGTGAAAAAAATCGCTATGTCCATAAATCGCAATTTCGATCCATAGTGCGACGGTCTGAGCTGAGTACAAATCTCACAACCCAAAATCATCAATTCAATAGCTTTATCAATTCCAGGAAACCAAAACCTACTTCGCGCTTCAGCTTTACACTTTACGATGCCCAAATGCGATTTGTGAAGTTCTAATAGTATTTTATTTTGTAATTTTAGTGGTATTATAATTTTGTGGCCGCGCATAATTACACCATTTTCATAAGACACTTGGTCTTTACACAAAAAATACGGACGATATTTTTGACAGGGTAACTTGTTTGGCCAGCCGTTTAAAATAAAATTAGATACTACTCTTAAAATTTCATCATTCCTTGATTCTAACTGCAGTTCATCAAGCGTGACCGGTAAGCTAGCATCAATAACAAAATTAATGTATGAAGCCCTGTCTTCTACGAACCGAGCCAGCTCGCGCGCTTCCTGGCCCGCCCCACCAGCGCGTGACTCATCACAGCTGACGCTTGCAATGTGTGTTACCAGTGATAACTTATGGCTCGGAAACGTGGCCTCTCACTATATAGGCCTTATACAGAAGCTCAGTTGCACAGCGTGCTATGGGGAGGGCTATGCTTGGTGTTTCTTTGCGAGATCGAATCAGAAATGAGGACATCCGTAAACGAACCAAAGTCGCTGACATAGCCCGACGGATTAGCAAGCTGAAGTGGCAATGGGCAGGGCACATAGTACGCAGAACTGATGGCCGATGGGGCAGAATGGTTCTGGAATGGAGGCCGCGTACCGGAAAACGTAGCGTAAAGGTACCAGGGAAGCGCTGGACGCAGGCCGCTTCCAATTGATCAACATGGAAAGCATTGGGGGAGGCCTATGTTCAGCAGTGGACGTCCTATGGCTGAAATGGTGGTGGTGGTGGTGGTACATAAAATATACTGAAAATGTATCATTAGAAATCAACTACGGGGGCTAAGGAGATAAAAGGAGGGTTGGAAGTTTATATTATGAAAGTCCTATGTGTTTAAAGTAAGAGAGTTGAAATTTAAAATGTATGCGCTATAGATGCTAAGAGCGGATTTTACGAAACTCCACCCCTAATGGAGTAAAACGAGGTCCACGCGTACGAAGTCGCGGGCGGCCGCTAGTAAAAAATAAATTTATTAAAAACAATTAATATAGGTATTATTACATGGCTCTATTTTATCTATCTTCTTCTATCTATATATATAAAAGAAAGTCGTGTTAGTTACTTCGCTTATAACTCAAGAACGGCTGAACCGATTTAGCTGAAAATTGTCCGGGAGGTAGTTTAGAGCCAGGAGAAGGACATAGGATACTTTTTATCCCGTTATTTATTGCCATTAAGGCGGAACAAAGTTCGCCGGGTCAGCTAGTAGAGTTATAAGGTTTTATTTATTAGAAAAACTGCCAGATTATAGGTAGAACAATATCGAAAGTCTTATAAAGACCCTCATTATAAAATCTGACAATATAGTCTAAAATATTTAAGTAAAATTAAATGTGATATAGATTTGGCATAAGTATAATCTGTGTTTAAGTAAACCTTGTCTACTATAAGCGAAGCCATAACGTTTTGAACATGCTTCTAAAGCCGAGTTGTCAAATTCAGGAGCGGTTGCATCGCCAGTGATCGCACAGCATGGAGCCCAGTCGTGTGCAGGTATTGCACCTAAGTACTGACTGTATTTTGTAACCTATTCTCACCTGTAATACAATGTTGCATTACTGTTTCCTTAACTCCTTCGCATCACGAGCAAAAAATATTTCGAGCGCGGAAAGTTGGGTTTCCAAATTCAAGGGCACCCGTGTACCCGTTATAGCATTCATAAAAAGTAATTGGATGTTTGCATTACGCTACATTATGTATTAGAGTATGATCTTTCATTGGAAGAAAATCAACTGCCTCACAACAGGTGTTGCATTATTTGGGGCAGTAGGTAGGCCTAAAAACTTGGTTAAAAAATGACCGAATAGAAATGACTGTGATGTTCTATTTTAATAATTTAGTTCCAATTATCTCGTATTCAATAAATGATTCGAATCTGGCAGCTACTCGTTTATAGAAAAAGAAACCGTAGGCTGCTTCTATTTTAATCGACATTCTTCTCGGAATTAACAAATATTGACACTCAATCTATCCAGAAAAGTATACTTTTTTGTACATTTTTAGCTACAGCCTCGTCAACAAAACACTCCAAGCCTGCCTGTGTTGTCAAACAAGAAGATCCATCGAAGGCAACAAAAATAGGTACAATATTAACAATACAGCGTAGGAAATATTTACATAAAAGAATAAAAAGGGAATCTGCAATATTCCTAAGGTACACGGAACTATTACTGTTGAAGTCTTCGTACTTCGATATTGGAAAATGAAACGTGTCTTTGTTTGAATCCCTTTGTTGGGAATGTTACCTGGAAGTAATTAGCACATGATATTATAGCAAAGTCCTTGGAGTTGAAAGTTTATTCTTTCGTATGTCTCAAAAAAAACTGGGTGAAGATTTAGTTAGTGAGTTTATTTTGATGAGCATAAGCACTGATTTAAATATTGCAGTATGTAAACCACCGTCCGTATTAACATACAGAAAACACTCAGTTTCAGAATGAAAATGTAACGAACCAGAGTAATGCGGAGCATTTTAGTCGGCCGTTTCTGATTTGGACAAGATATATTCATGAGGCTGCTCAACCAACCGAAAGAATGCTAAACAAATTGTACCATAACCTATTCTGCAACAGTTGGAACAAAAATAATATACTGTGTTTTAACCTAAAAATAGAAATAATGCTGTAACTCTGATTTGGCACGGCTCGTTTAGAATTGATTTGAAATGACATATATTTTGATTCCCTTCAACATGTTTGAAATTCCCAATTGTTTTATTCTTGTCATTTATACGTTGCATAAAAGTAACAGAAGTAGAAGTATTAGGTATTAGGGAGCAGTTCTGGCTAATCAGAAGGATCAGTATTCTCTGAAAGAGTCCACTAAGTTATTGTCCCCAAGTATTTTTCCCCATTTTATTTATGGTTGTGCACACTCAGGTCAACATGATAGTCGGAAATGCAAAATAAATTATTTCCATGCAACGACAGGCGCTCTAAGCCGATTCGATTGAGCCATGTCAAATGCCAAAGGCAGTGATTAAATCTGACACTAGAGCTATGTGACCTGATTCTTTAAAACCCATAAGATAGAATAAGCGTACATAAAATTTATTGATGCAATTTTAACTGTTCATTTACTATAGCTCAGTATGTAACTAAAATTATATACAGTTCAGATACAAACTGAAGATGACAGTCTTTTCTGTTGTAACTTTGGTGTTTAAACTTTTTATACACTAGATTGTCAGTGTCCATTTAAGATTTATGTCGCTCCATTCATATTAATCAATGTATCCAAGGCATAATTAGTAAATACACAATTTGCGTCATAACAATGCCGCTTTTCAGCGCCTGACAATGATTCTGATGCGACAGAGCTTATTCCGAATGATGCTTATCCACAAAATTCATCATCCAGTATTTAATGTACTAGTAATATGTCCCTCATTAACTTTTATGTTAAGTTTATAAATTCAGTGTTAACTGCGGATAATACTCCAGGATGTTAAATAATCTTCTTAATTACGATGTGGTCCTCTTTAATGCCGTTAGCCACCAAGCCGGATTATGACCGGCGCGTACTAAATTCTGTGGTCCAGCCAGTGTTTTTAGCAAAGTAGGTGCCATAATAAAGATATAGGTACACTCAGTTAGTAGGTAGGTATACCAAATCTTAGGTAATCTATGTTTTTACTGGATTTGCGGAAATCCTTAGTCTAACTATGAGACAAACAGAACTTCATGGGTGAAGCTGCGGTCACAAACTAGTTGCGAAAATTCTCTGAATTCACTCAGTACCTCCTCTGTACTATCTTTTATGATATTTAATCTTCAGTTCTTGTTACTGTACAACACAATTAATATCGATATCAATACACGTGTCAGTTACTTGGCGATTTAACGTTGCCAAGTTATTTGCAGTGACACAAATATCTCATAATTTCAAAATGAGGCACAACATCGGCGAGGTAAACAATAAGGAAACAACATACACGAGGATGTGAATTTCCTTCGACGATTGGTTGCTGTCTGTCATATTTGTTTATCGTTCCCAGAAACACAGTTGTTGAGGGGTAGGGCGACATCATAGTAAAATTAAAGAGTAATTGTGTGTTTAAAAACAAACAGTGCCTATTTCTTTTATTTTAAACAAAATTACACGAAAACGTAACAAAATAATGAAATTATCCTAAAAATCCACTAAAAGATATTCAGTTATTTAATTGAAACAAAATCATAAAAACAGAGAGCAAACTAGTCTTAACGTGCTCAAATAAAAAATAAAGTTGCAGTACCAATCATTTTTTGCTATGGTTATACCGTGACACACTGCATTTTAGACGGTTTGATTTTTGACAAGAGCAATTTCAAATAAAATCAGGCATGCATGATGCTGATGGCCGCATGAATGACAGTTATTTATTGTGGGAGGTGGAGTAAATGGCACGCTGAAACTTTCAATTTTCCGATTTATACCATATAATTTTTCCGAGAATACATAACATGTCTAGGGGAGGTTGATTTGATGGTTTATGTAGCAATATTGATTATGGCTAACATACATAAACTTATGAATTCCCGCCTTAGGCAGTTCGATTTTTTAAGTTGTTTATTGTATAATTTAGTTTGAGAAGTGACTCTAATTGTTAAGAAATTTCGATAAATATATAAACTTACTAAAAATCCTTTAAAATATAAGGCAAAGGAGATGTATAAGCTTTATGATGTTCTACTTATAAAGACTCTTAATTGTTGTTCATAATGTAATTTAAAATGCAAGACAGTAAAATAAAAAATGTATTCATGTCTCTCTTAGAATTTAAAAAAAATAACTTGCGGCTTAGGTATAACAGTTAGTCAAGTAATCACCGTTTGCTTTAGTTTCAAATGTTTACACCGGTTTACTCAAAGCAGTATCTTCATCTGAAATCGGGTAACGTACAATCTGTTGACGGATCTGTATTTAGGAGTTGTGTTTGAAGGACTGGAGTGTTGATCGAATCTGGCCACCGATATACCCAGTTTAATGATTTACCTCATAATATTAATTCTGAATGGGATATTCAAGATTACTGACGTAATAACTTGGAAGTGGTTTATTACGAGGCCCACCTAATTGATTAGGTAATTATACAATTAATATCTTGTTTAATCCATTGTTTAATCCACCGAAGATATACTTTCTACGAAATCTCTTATACACGTCATCCTGATATAATACTGAGAAACCGTAGCTTTAGCATAAAAACATATTATTTTTAAACACACAGAGCTTGAAGATTTTTATTGTGTTCATTTAAATTTTAGACCCTCGATTACTACTCGTAGTTAAGGCTTGGCTGCGTAAGAATCTACTTTAGATTGCCTTTCTTCGTAAAAGTATACATATAAAATGCCTAATAAACAAGATTATCATTTCTAAACGGTCTTAAAGGTGACTTTTCAAAGATAACAACCTAAGCTTTCCATTAAATAGAAGTTATATCAAGATAAAACAACATTAGTCAGAACTATGAATGGATCCTCTTCAGCCAATTACATTTATAGAACTCCCCTTACAACACCAAGTGCTAAGCTGTTTTAACTTCATATTAATTTGTTGGAGTTGAATTTAGATAATTTCTCTAACTTAATTCTGTGTGTTGTGGTTATAATAAAGCAAAAGCTAAGTAAAGTTGGGAGTACTTAGACTTTGTTTGTTGGTAGAAGATAGTAAGAGTTATAGAAAATTGGGTTGTAACAGGACCCTAAGGACGGGTTTCTTGGTAACCAATTGGATATTATCACGTCATAGCACACTGCAATGGACTGGTACTAACTAAAAGTTTATGATGGACCTCTTTGTACAGCAGTAAAAGAATTCGGGTCTATAATAGATGATGATAGATAATTTTATTAAAATCTGAATCGACCAATATCATGATTTGTTGGATAAAAATATATTAATAATTTTATGCAAATACATTCTTAAAAACTATAGTATTAGGAATACATGATGTAGGTACCTACGTACGATTGCTTGATAAGCATTTGACTGCTGCTATGATTGATATCAGGACATTGTCAATAGCTTCTCATAATTCGTAATAAGAGCCCTGATATAATTTAAATACCAATTATTATTACCGGTCCTATATTAGAAAATGCCAAAGGGCATTACGTAAATCTTTTGAATTTCTCGGTTCAGTACAAGCCATTATAAAAGGAGTTAGCTACGTCATATGGAAATAACGATTTCAGATGAATGATTATAATAATATAATTTAGGCTTAGGCCTCAAGCAGGGAAATCTATATTGAGTTGAAGTGAAAGAAATATCTGAAGCATTTTGTCTTGCTTGAAATTGAATGTGGATAATTTTGCCAATTTGCAATTCATTTGTTTCGGATATAACGATCGTTTCACAAAACGATTGTATTTCGACCCGTTTTTATGTATTTAATGAACTATTTACTTATTTAACGCAGGCATAGCTAGAGGAAAGTACGCGTGTTAAGTCACAATAATCTAAATAGTTGAGATAAAACACAATCTACTAAAAAATATTTCTACTTTATTGTCATTGCAACAGCTTCGAAAAATTAAGCCTTCAGGCAGAAGTTTGTTATGTGTTGCTGACAAAAAACTGGCATGAAACATATTTAATTAAAAACGTGTGTGTGGTGCTACCTATTGTTTAGATTTCTTTGGGCAGAAAATATAGTGCATTATGTTTCCCGTCAGCTATTAGATGTTAAAAACATAAAATAAAAATCAAACAATGACTTTTTATTATATACATTTTTACTCATAATTTGTATACAGCTTAACTAACTGCCACTTAGAAATAAATAATGGCTTGTGCTGCGAAATAATATTGAAAGTAACTTTAAGTCACATTTTCTTATCCTTAGGCTTATTTAGGATAATTAATACGATGGTTAATGTTAATACGAGTAGGTTAAGCCCACTGTCATTTAAAGTCATCCAGTTCAAAGTATATTTTATCGCAAGGATTTACTTCACTCTAAATTTGTATTTCGATGGGTGCCTGGAATAAAGCCNCCCGCGACAAGTAGTCGGCGCTGTTATCTGCGCTGCGTATGTATTCTATGTTGTAATTATATGCGCTAAGAAATATCGCATAACGCTGCAATCTATTTGCCGACACCTCAGGTATGCCTCGATGCGGCCCAAATATAGCGATTAGCGGTTTATGATCAGTACGAAGTACAAAAGGAATGGATCTACCGTATAAATATTGATGATATTTACGAACACCAAATATTATAGCTGTTGCTTCCTTTTGTATTTGTGAGTACCTACGTTCAGCTGAATTTAGAGTGCGTGAGGCGAACGATACAGGGCGTTCAAAACCACTTTCATCAATTTGAGACAAAACCGCTCCCAGCCCACCTGAGGATGCGTCAACAGTCAAAATGATCTTCGCAGCGGGATTAAAATGAGCTAATACCTGATCGGAAACTAATATTTTTTTTATTGTGTTAAATGCCTTGTCATGTTCTGAATTCCACTTCCACTTCACGTCTTTGCGCAACAAATCATATAATGGGCTTAAAATTGACGATGCTGTAGGGATAAATATCCGGTAATAATTAATGAGACCTAAAAATGATTGCAACTTATTCACATCATTCGGTACTGGTGTTTTTAAAATTGCATCGACTTTTTGAGGTGACTTTTTCAACCCTTCCTTACTTATTTGAAACCCTAAGTACTCGACCTCGTCCTTGAAAAACTCGCACTTAGTTTTTTGAAGAGTTAGGCCAGCATCTTGTAGACGCCGGAGTACTTCATGCAGCCTGCTCAGGTGGACAGACGTGGACGGACCCGTCACGAGGACATCGTCCATCATACAGAGCACCCCTTCGATGCCTGACAGCACGCTTTCCATTACTCGCTGAAAAATGGCTGGTGCGCTCGCTAAACCAAAGACTAACCTTGTATACATAAATAACCCCTTATGTGTGTTAATACAAGTAACTTTCTGTGACTCATCATCCAAAACACACTGAGCATAAGCTTGAGAAAGATCTAATTTAGTAAATTGCTGGGCCCCGTGTAGTTTAGAAAATAACTCATGTGCAGTAGGTAGTGGATACTGATCCACTAACAAATGCTTGTTTATAGTGACGGAGTAATCCGCACACAGTCTTATCGAGCCGTCTCGCTTTAACACAGGCACAATCGGTGACGCGTACTCCGAATACTCGACCGGTTTTAATATGCCTACACGTACAAGGCGATCTAATTCATTGCCAACTTTTTCCCGTAACGCAAAAGCCATAGGCCGTGGCTTGAAAAAAATTGGTTTGACGTCCTTTTTTAAATTCAGTCTCACTTTATACTTCGTAAACATGCCCAGGTCATCAGAAAATACACTAGGATATTTTTCCTGTAACTGATCTGCGATACCCGTCAAATTCTCACAGTAATGCATAGGAGTCATTCCCAATTTAAACAGAGATAAAAAATCCCTACCCAAGAGTGGCGGGCCGCCATCATCTATGATATAAACATTTAAATCGTGCGATTTATCTGCAAATGTAAAAGTTAGTCGCGCGATTCCTACGCATTGAATATTATTACCTGTATACGTTATTAATCGCTTATTACATTTGGACAATTTAATAGGCTTAAAATGTTTTTTATAAGTTTGTGAGGAAATCGCAGTGACAGCTGATCCGCTATCAATTTGAAAATTCATTTGTACCCCCTGGACCTCTACTAACAACATCATCGGTTCTCCATGGAACGTACGAATATTAAAACACTCACCGTCGTCGCCGTTCTCACCGATACCCTCGTTTTCTATATAGTTAAATTTTTTGCACATACGTCGCAAATGACCCTTGACATTACATTTCCGGCAAATGTAATTTGCAAAACGACACTGAGCTGACGTGTGATTTTTAAACCCACAAACAGAACACGACACTTTATCACTGGCACGCGTAGACGCAATCTTGAACAGTTGGTCGGCGTCGCCGGCGCGGGTCGCGCCCAGCGCCGCCGGGCCCTGCGCCGCCGCGCCGGCGCGCGCGCTCCGCAGGCTCTCCGCCAGCTCCACTGCCTTGGCTAATGTCAAGTCCTTTGGGTCCTGAGCGAATAATTTTTCTCTCTCCGCTCCAGGCAGCATTCCCATAACGAAATGGTCCCTTAATGCTTCCTCGACGTTCAGGAAACCACAGTGCGCCGTCAGTCCCCTCAGCCTGGCTGCCCATTGTGGATAAGTTTCCCCTTGAAATTGCGTTGCAGCGTAAAACTTGTACTTTTCGCCAAATCCACAAGTTTTAGAGATAAAATGCTCGTTCAACAACTTGATTATATCTTCAAAGGGTACTTCTTGAAGTTCTTTGGGTCTAGCCAAATCTGCTGCTAGCTTGTACGTGGACTCGTTGAGTGCGCTCAACAATATAGCTCGTCGCTTGACTCCTGTGGTATCTTTGGTTTCCACAACATCGTTGGCTATAAACCATTGCTGGAGCCGATCTCTGTACACTTGCCACGACTGTGAATTGTGGTCAAAACTCGATAGTAATCCAAATTGAGACATTTCACAAGACTACTTTTTTTTTCGGTTAACGCGGGTAGAACGTCGCCACTGTTAAGTAGTTGATAGGCGTGCGAGACAAGTAAAACGACCGAAGCTATAGAACGCACTCACGCTTTATTCGTAAAACCAATGGGCGGGCGCAGCCGCTATACATGCCTACATATAGATACAACTACGAGTACGTTGAGGGGTACAGCTAGATAGCTATACATAACAGGGGTGTAGTTCAGAAGAGGAAAGGAAGAAAGTGAAGGCAAGAATCGAGGATGGGGGCCTCCTGGTCGCGGAGGACATGAAAAATAAAGACCCGCTCCTAGTCCTGAAGGACGTCCTGTTGTTGAACAGTGACGAGGACGTCCTGAAGGCACTGCGAAAGCAGAACAGGGGCATTTTTCATGAACTCCGCGAGGGGGAGGACCGCATCCAGATTCGATACAAGAAAAGGGCCAGAAACCCCTATACAAACCATATCGTCGTGAGCGTATCGCCAGCAATCTGGCAGAGGGCGACTGAAGCGGGAACCGTGCACATCGACTTACAGCACATCCGAGTGGCCGACCAGTCACCGCTGGTGCAGTGCACAAAGTGTCTGGGATACGGCCACAGTAAGCGATTCTGCACGGAGCCCGCGGATGTCTGCAGCCACTGTGGGGGGCCACACCTGAGCACCGACTGCGCCGAGAAGCTCGCTGGCGGGGCACCGTCGTGCCGGAACTGCCAGCGAGCCAAAGCGGAGCAGGTCGCACACAACGCGTTCAGCAACGACTGCCCAGTGCGCAGGCGGTGGGACGCGTTGGCCAGATCCACAGTGGCCTACTGCTAAGGATGCCGCGGGCGATATTACCATCCAGCTCACGACCACTCCGATCTCCATCTGCCTTGTCCGTCGAATATCTGTGAAAATAGAAAGAAAAATTATTAATTTGACAAAACTCTCATTCTTAAATATTAAAAATTGCATTTACACTATTTTGGCCATTATATTAAAAATTAAAACATTACCGTTCATATTACAAAATCCTAAATCTATAGCAAATAATCAAATTGGTATCAGTTTAATGGCTAAAATGAACCATTTGAAATTAAAACAACAACGAACACTCATTATAAACACAAACAGCACAAAGGCGCACACAAAAGTAAATAATAAGATCTATGTTTCCTAAGTATTATGAGAATACAATAGATAAACATAAAATAAAGTGTTTAAATGAGTATATGAAAAAAATGGAAATGTAGTATGATCAATTATATTAGTAAAAAATCCGGCAAATCCATTACTGTTTCAAAATTTCAAGCAAAATAATAAAATACCAAAAAATTCAAATTCATATATTCCACAAAATTATACATCGCAAAAATGAAAAATGACGACAAACACTGGCAAATATTTCTAACTAAAACCCTTCAAAACACAATAGAACAAAAATTGAAAACTAATTCATATCAAAGTCTCTGATATGCAATAGTCAGAGGTGCATAGAAATAAAAAAAAAAAAAACCCAAGTCCCCCCGCGCCCCTCGAGCCGAGCGTCACGTTTTTGTTGAGCTCCCAATACTAAAATTTTAAGTTGCGGGTTTTTTCGCACGAATCACATCGAGTGGCATATCAGAAGAAGCGCGCTGCCGAGACGAACATTGTGGTGAAAAAAATTCTGAAATCGGTGAAAGTGTGTGAAAGTTACGAGTGAAAAACTGAATTTCTAACCTCACAAACACTCAGTGCAATTGAAAGTGACCTAAAACCAGTTTGTTACCACAAGTGCTATATATCAAAAGAAGCGTCTCGACGAGCCTGTGCCAAAGCTAAAAAAAAGTTTCTGAAAATCGGTTCACGTTTCAGCGACTTGTGGTCAAAAAACCGTTTTCAAAACTTCCAGCGGCTCCAGCTCGAGATCTTCAGCGGTGACCTGTAACTTTTAATTGCTGATCCTGTGCACCCCGACGTCCCCTACCCCTCGAGACTTCCAAAAAAATTTTTTGGCAAACCCTCGGGGTGGGAGACACAGAAAAATACAAACCACGTGGCACGTGGTCCGTCTTTTTGAGTCTTTTGGCTCAAAAGAAGACCACCATCACATCGGCCACGTCAAGACCTTCTCAACGACACCCAACACGTGGGGGTTGCAACGGCGGAACAACCCCAAACCGGCGTTGTAAACCTTGAGGCAGCCCTGGAGTCGACGCCGCGGTGACAACCCTGAAATTAAAGACTAATAATTAAAGATAAGTTCTAGTTTAATAAGTGTCATAAATTTGGTGTAAAAATAATTAGTGGTTCAATAGTTATTAAGATTTTAAAATTTAAATAAATGATTGATTGAAATTGCAAAAATTTTATAGCTTTAAAATAGAAGGGTAATTTAGCATATTCACATTTTTAGATTTTAAATTTAGTTAAATAATATATTAAAAAATAGGATTACCAACTTATTTGCAGCTACTTTTGATGTAAACAAAGTTTTGTAAAATAAAAATATTATATAAGGGGTGGTCCGAAAATTTTGATTGAAGTGTCGTTCGATAGAGCCTTTTACACCCTATCCAACGACACCATCAAATCCCGGGCGTCACCAAAATCGGGGAATATTTTGGGCCTGGAATAAAAAGTGAACTCGCCCAAAATATGCACCAATAAGTTGGGAATTACCAGGTCACTGTATTAAAATTGCTATAAATTAAAAACTAATAGGTATTCAACATTTTTTATATTTTTACAATTATCTAAGGGTCAAGTCATTGGTTTTAATTTCAAAAAATTTTTCAATTTGAGACTTGAAATTTTCAAAAAATTTTTTCAGGGTTAAGGGGTGAAATTTTTCAAAATTCTTTTCAGCAGAAAAAACTTCATTTTTATTAAGATTTAGATTTTGGGTTAAAATTGATTATAAATATTAGAACAAAAATACGAGGTGCTTTTTAAATTTTTGCAAAAATTAAGAAGTTAAATTAAATAGTTTAAAATTAATTTTAAAATTATAATTTCATTCGGATAACGTCAGAATAGCCCATCTTTTTAATAGTACGTTTTTTAAAATTGTAAAATCTTTAACAGAAACCTTTTTCAGCAGCTAAATAGATAAAATATCCCATTTTTCAATAACAAGGCCTGAAAACCCTGAAGGTCGGCATTTTTTGAGAATTTCAAAGTGTTAAAATATAGAGTAGGAAATTTGGCAACAAGAGGTCAAAACCCAGAATTTTTGGTTAGTAATTTTCGCGCGTATTTAAGGCGATTACATGGCCGAACGACCTTGAGCATTAGAGCGAGACAACGTGCCTCACGCCGCGCGCCCGCGCTTCTGCCCGATACCAAAGTGCGCTCAGAATACAGATGCGAAGCGCTGCCAATTCTAACATAACTGCCTACGGGAATGTTAACTCGATTTTAATTTACGCAGATCGAAAAAAATTGCGATGAATGATTATATTTCAATTAGACATCATTATACTTTAATTAGTACCATAACTATGAAAAATAAACAGTTATTTCCTACTGTAAAGTTTGCTAAAAGGGACATACCTAAGCAGTTTGAAAGTTAGGCTGACGATATTCGTGTGTCTAAGTGAGCTTCTAAACAGTTTTTAAGTGTGTGTACGAGTACCTACCTAAATGTAAATGTCTGTCTGTGCAGGTATTCAAAATATTGGTCAAATATCGGTCAACATTGAATAAAATATTTTTGATCATCGAATACAATTTAAGACTTTACTNCAAAGTCAAAGTCAAAGTCAAAATTTCTTTATTTGTTTGGACTAATAAATAGTTCTTACAAATCGTCATTTTGCTCTTAAGGAGCCTCTACATGTCTCATAATCTTTTTACCCTACCAGCGCTTCGAGACCAACATTTGGCAAGTGCTGAGAAGAAGCGCCGCAACAAACTCAGTCACCACTGTCTGCCGGTTAATATAAATAAATAGAAATAGTAGTAGTAGGTACATTCGATTCAGGAGCAGTTCACTGAATTTACATGCATTCGTGTATGGTGTATCTTATAAGAATGGGTATACAAGATTGCGTGGTATATTAAACAAGGTAGTGACGTGCTAATATCTAGACTTAATAATAAAACATAATATTCTATGATTATAATGGAATATGATGAAGCAAGGATGTCAAGGAAACCACGCTGACAAAGGTGTGAGATGCAGAAAAGTATTTAAGTACGAGAAATGATGACGCAAACTATGAAGATACTCCCTCCGTAACTTGTCTTGTGGTCACGTAAGTGGTGAACAATTTGACTAACGATGGCCCCAGAGCAGGTACGATTTATTATTATTAGCGATTATTTCAACAGCAACAATATTAACACATTTCCTTTTTGAGCAAAATAATGCATGGAAGTAAATGATGCATCAAATGTTATAGGTATTGTCAGTCTTCACTGATAATGCCAGGAATGTGTGTGAAAGCTATGGTATGTGCTCACTTTAATTGCAATGCCTAATAAACTATTTTAGTAAATGAAATTAAATTGAACGGTGTTCATTTGTTCATGTTTGTATTCTGCGAAGAATAACCTGTTGAGATTTAAAATCAATAAAGAATAGATAGAATATGGTCAGATAAATTAAATAAGTTTGGTGATCATGCCCGAGTAACTCTTGGCACTATTTTGGAGAAGAATTAATAATTAGTTTTAATAAAGTAGATTGAAACTAAGATCTGTGTTGTGTAAACCAGTTTTAGTATCATGATGTTTCTTTCTTGATGTTGAGCACTATAAGATGAGATAAAATCTATTAATTAGCTTAATTTGTAAATTGAAATTAAGTAAAGCAGCCAGTTATGCCGTTAAACATGTGGTGTATTTTTGATATTCTTATAGTGATTGATACTTAAATTATTGGGAAACATAATTATTATTATGTTACATGATGCTATATTTGGAGTAAAGATAATGTTAATATTGAACTTTTCCAACTTTAAATCAATTAATTTCTGCTGCCAGTAGTGATTTGGGTTGTATCACTAAAATTGAAAATTAGTGTGGGTGACCAAATTTATCCAATTATGATATTACATAAAAGATATAGAATGTGGTACATTTAACTTAAAGGGTATTCTTGTGTACTTGTCATTATTGTTGATTATTCTCATATTATGGTGAAAATGATTTTAATCTTAAGGTTATTTATTAGCTGTTTAGTAAAAAGGTTACTGGTTGTAGCATGTTGTGTGTGCATGCATATTTTTAGATTTGACTTGAGTTTTAGATATGGTGACCTATCTGTCTGCGGGTTGGCCCTGTGGTGAGCAAATCAGTCAAGCACAATACCAAAGTGAAGCTTAACACTGAGCAAGGGTACTCCACATAAGTGATTTGGAGTTGAACAGAAGGTAATGCAATACAAAAGGCATCAGCTGTGATATTTGGTGAGTGAAAATGCCATACAAAAGGAATCAGCTGTGATATTTGGTGAGTTGAATTAATGTTTTATTGCAAGGGTTAAGCATCAATATGTTTCNGTCCCCGATAGTACATCACTTAACACCTCCAAATCGACTGGCCTATATTCCAGATCCAGACTGTTATCCAAACACTGCAGACTATGTTTAGTCTAGTTCAACTGTACAATAACAGCCAAAAGTGCTAATATTATTTAAGCTGAAGCTCAACAAGTGGCGTAGTGACACTGGCACGAGCCAAGAATAACAGCCGATTATACGATTATACTTTTGGTTTGAACTGTACTGTGGAAACAACAAAACTGTGATTTTGGCACACTATTTCATCATTCAGATCAAAGGTAGATTAATATATCGTATATTATTATATTTCATCCATATACTCGTAAGTTCGTGTGTCACACAGTGCTTCCACGCGCACTGTGAGACCTCATTGTAATGTTTGTGACGGGCTTACCTATGTATTTACTGCTACACTGTAGTCGATCGCTGAATAAACCAATATTGAAATAACGAAGTGAGAACGCGTATAAGACTCGCAAATACAGAAAATGATATTGTTACAAGTTAAAATGAAACTCTATTTTCCCACTCTGTCAAAGGAAATAATGATGATAAGGTAATACAATTATGTTTATCATTTCAAACGATATTCCCTGTTCTGTTTATTTTAATATCATCCAACAGAAAATGTCAAACTCTAATTAAAATTGACTTACCTACTTGATGCTATCTTGGAAAGAAATTAAATGAATAAAATTTTTCAACAACCACAATATAGTAGACAACATTTCAACAAAGAAAAGTGGATGATAAAATAAACAAAAGCCGGCGTTGGCTTACGTCACTGAATCTGTAAAGAGCGGGAATAGCTATCATTCTTTTTTTTCTTTTTTCTATCGCCGCTTGCTGCATCATCGAATAACGAGAATTCGGACTTCTTTTGTTTTTTCATGGTTATAAAACGCCGTGGGCGTACGGTTTGTTATGGCCAGTGATAGCGGAATAGAAACGGCTGGCTGATTGATGATTAATGCAGAGTAAAAAAAATAATAAAGAAGGCGAGTTTTTAATAAGGAATAAGAAATATTGCTTTCGTGTTGCATAAATATAAAACCAATGCCATAAAATCTGTTTTATTTAGTTTTTCCGCCAGGTAAACTATTAAAAATAAATTACTGCTCAAAATTTTTGCTTGTTTCCTGAAAATTTTAGTGTAACAGTGAAAAATAATAATACTATTATTTACTGCGCCATAAGTCATGTAAAATGTCAACTTTAAACGCGTGGCCGCCATTTTCTTCGCCGTGCCCATAACATCAATTCGTTTAATCGCTGTTTTATTGGACATAAATATGGGTTTAATTTTCACAGTTTCAAAGCTGTTTCATATTTATAATGTCAGCGAAATAAACTTGAAATTGACAAGGGGGTGCTGACAGTTTTACAGCTTGCGAAGAATGTATAATATTTGATGAAAGATTTGAGAAATAATAGAGTCAGCTGTCTTTCGTGTCTGCAATTCTAGATGTAGCAATAATGAAGTGACGAAACATTCATTTACGCCCGTTTTCACAAACGATGCTTGCTTAAATGAAGCAGCAAATCGAACGCACAGCGTTAAATAGAGTTCTGTGATTGGTTTGTGTTTCACCCTGTGCGTCCACGCGCACTGTGAGACCGCATAGTAATGTTTGTGAATACGGGCGTTAGTCTTGTATCAGTGCGCAATGTCAACCTTTTAAAAGTCGGCATGTCATTGTAGAGGTTATTCGAGTCGCTTTAAAGTTTAAATGTAGGTTATTTCAAATCGATTAATGTAATTGGATAGCTTTGCGTGGGAGACTAATCAGGGTCTTAGATAGAGCCTCTATCACGTTTCAACTTAATTAAGTAACTTTTATTGATTTGAAAGCTACTGAAAATCTAATATAGCAATTGAAAAGCAATTAGATTCTCAGGGATAGATTTAAGTGTACTTTAAAGAAATTATCTTGGAAATATTGGTTAATGGGGTCAAATAAACCTACTTATTACCATTACTTAAAATTAAAATAGTCATAGTCAAAATCATTATCTATACTAATATTATAAATGCGAAAGTAACACTGTCTCTCTTTCACTTCTTTCTCTCTTTCAGCCTAAACCACTGAACTTTTAATGAAATTTGGCATAGAGATAGTTTGAGTCCTGGGAAAGGACATAGGATAGTTTTTATCCCGGTTTTTGAAATAGGGACGCGCACGATAACACAGAATACTGTGACAGACAAAATTCCACGCGGGCGAAGCCGCGGGCGGAAAGCTAGTATTCCATACTTTACGAATGCTGTCGGCAAAAGTACCGCAAGACACGAGTCATACTATAACTTGCTAAGTACGAACTCATAATAAAGATGTCGTTTTAACCTTAAATACATTTAAACAAGAAATACATCAGATTTGAATGCCAAACGACCAAATAAACGTCCAAGTTCACTCATTAAGATCAACTGACAACCACGCAACAATTCCGCATTGACATTAATGACGTTTATATTCTCACGGTGCTAAATGATCGCTTCAGTCGGTGATGATGATCGACTGGTTCAAAGACACACCAACTCGCGTGACTGAAGACCCTTAAGTTGAGATATCAAGGCATTTGGTTGGCGCAAGTTATTGGAGAAAGCGGTGTTTTAGGTGAAGTTACATTAAGAAAGAAAAAACAATTTTTAGGTACACAACTTTGTTACAATCTTAGGCTGAGTTGCACCGTCTTACTTTAACTTTAACAAACGTCAAAAATCTGTCAATCTCATACAAAAAGCACCGGTTAAGTTATAGTTACGGTTATGTTAGGTAATGCAACTCAGCCTTAAGGTTTTTAGACTTTAACCTTATTAAAAAAAGAAGACTATGGTTGAAATCTGGTTTAAATGGATTGAGTATGGAAATTACATTTTAAATCAGTGTTCGTCTCGGGTTTAACTTTTTTGTAATAAAGGTTTGATTCTAAATGTTGGCATGATTGGAGTTACAGGCATAGCACAAAACTAAGTAAGTTCTTGCGGTAGTGATACAGGAGGGGTGTTTTTGTTACGTCAGATGCCGGGAGCTACAAATCCTAAATAATCGAGTTCTTAGTTGACTGGAATACGCAATGCTCGTCAACACGATTTCATGCTATACCTAGGACTTAGTATTAATAAATAAATATTACTTTCACCAGTGCTTGTACCTTGTACCACACACCCGGACACCGTGATGAGCGCTCATTAAGTCCGTATAAAAGCCAATCCTGACGTTCGACGCGAGCGTTCGCGCTCGTAGGTCGAGCGTTCGATGCGTAATTCGATTCGCTCACGCTCACGCAATTCGGTGGATTGCGTTATTTGTACAAATGGAAACAACAACAAGTTATTAGACGTATAGAGTAGCAAAGCCTTTGTTTTACAAAAAATAATTAATACTATGTGTAAGTTTTATACTGGAATGGACTGTTTCAGTCTGCATCAAATTATGATTGTGTCAATACAAGAAACTATTGGCAGCCCCCTATGGTCTAAGTTTGTGCATCGAGTCACATGTCAGATGCGATTGCGAATATTATAATGAGAATTTACCTAGAGTTTTGGAGAATTTTTGGTACCTATCTATTGACTTCAAAATAAGATTGTTTATAGCCGTTACAATAAAAGCTCTCTCTCTATATATTGTCAATCCATTGCATAAATATACAAAAGCACGGTTGAATCAACTTCTCTAAGAAATAACATGCAACGTTATTTCTTAGCACTTCGTTGAAAGATTGAAAGAAAAAAACAACATACCACATTTAAAGAAAACAGTTCATGTGTTCACTAAAAGAAAACCGAATCCTTAGTAAATTTACTGGTGTAAGTAATTAAAAGTCGTAGTTCAAAGCGAGGGGCTGGCTCACCGCCAACTGCAGATGTCTGGAAGGCTGTAATGAAGTATTTCAAACGTTTAATCTTTTAGTTTTGCCGTGTGGTTCTGACAGAGTAGAAGGACCAATTTCTGTTCCCGTGGTTGTAGTAAAAGACGACTAAGGGACAAATAAGAGAACTACAGGTATCTTCAACCCACTTCAACCCACAGATCACAGAAACTAAAGGGAGATGTGACAATGGGGCGTGGCCGGTGTCGCAGCAATATGCCCAAAAACAGAATACATTGCTCGCGACAGCAATGATGACAGCAGCGACGTCATAATGTAAACAGTTTACATAGCTTGCGTAGTACTAAAGATTATTCGAAGTTGAGTAGGTACTTATACCGCAGTGGATAATGAGCACATTCAAACTAACAGAATGCATTCAATCGCACATCACTGCGTATGTAGTGGTGCTGTACGTACATTACTTGCAATCTGGTATGAGAACAAAGTAACTCTGAATGCGCGTATTGTTTTTATTTTGATTACTTTGTGTGTGTGAATTTCTAATGCGGCACTGAGTTTCAAACTCAGCGCATTAGTTGGCATCTCTCTATATATCTATGCTTCAACCCGTTTGGCCAAAAGACCACTCCCACTCTTCGTAGTTGTCATACAAGGGGATTAAGAGATAAATATGCGAACATCCGGCCTCCCAATTTTGGCCTGGAGAGTGTAAGCTATCCTCCATTTGTCTCTGGTAAATTAAAAGGGGTCGTGCCATTGTAGTGGCGACTAACTAATTGACCTGACGATAAATCTTAGTTTAGTTTTTACTAGCTTTTGCCCGCGGCTTCATCCGCGTGAAATTTAGTGACACAGATCGGCATAATAGCCTATATGTTAATCTAGGTTACAAACAATAATACTGTAAAGTTTTAACGAAATCCGTTCTGTAGTTAAACACCCAGACATCCAGACATCCAAACTTTCGCATTTATAATATTAGTAGGAAGTAAGATGTTTTGAAGTCGTGCAAAGCCACAACCAATTAGTTAATCGTTATAGAAATAAACAACCGATTTACAAATAGTGG